TTACAACAATCTTATTCTGAAAAAATGAAAACTTTTAGGCAAATTAATTGCACTTTTTTTAATCAATAAGGTGAAGACAATTATTTAAACTCAAATACTTCCAATCTGTCATCTCAAACTGATCTCAATCCTAAGACTCTTGTTAGTAATAATAATAACCCTTGCATTTGATATAGCGCTTTTTCATCAGTACATCACATTAAAGCTACATACATTTTCTTTCTTCAGCCAAGCCAACGTCTAACTGAAAGTTTGTCCAACGTTCAGGCTATTATCACGTTGAAATAACACTACTTTCACCCCTCCCCCATTGCTCAGTTGGTAACGCTACTGCCCAAGGTGCATTTGAACTGTAGGGGCCAAGGAGGCCTCGGTTCATGCTGATTTAGCCATGGGTCATTTGGGCTGTATAATTGGCAAGGGTTCCACTTTAGATCCCTGTCAGTGATCCTTCTGGAAACCCCCCCCAAACAGGTTGATCAAGCTCAGCTCTAATCTCCCATATTGTCACATGGCCTGTGGATACTTCCTGTATTGGCTGACATATGAAGAAAGGTCAATTTGATCCGGTATCAGAAGCAGCCGAAGAACCCTGGTATCCACCAGCACCTACAGGAGAGGAAGAGAGAAAACTGGAGGGGAAAAGAGATCTTGTGCACCCATTATACTACGCTGAAACTTAATAAAATAAAACAGCTGGACTGCAGCTGTGCAGAAATTTCATACGCCCACCATTATGTTTAACTGAAATGCTAGTGACAAGGAATTAAGTACTTTCCCCAATACCTCTAAGACCAAAACTTAAATTCAGCTTAGATGGGTTGATATTTTATTCCAATGACCCATCCATCTATTCAATGATCCCCACCAAAAAAATGGAAGCATCCAATCCTAGTGAATTGCAAAACATGCAGGACACCAACAAACTTGATCCAAGTTCCTGAACTCTTAAGGAGATAGCCACCTAGAATTCCACTTTCCAACCAAAACCCAAATCAGGAAAAGATTTACTATAACCTTCCACAAAGTGATATTTCATAAAGCATTCTTTATAATTCAATATGTAAATTAGGGGGTTGCAGTTTTGGGTTTCAACTTAATTCACTGGTTTAGAATTAGCAAGTTTGAAGCGCCAGAGGTAGCCATGTTTTAAACACAAGGATCAGCAGTCGAGTCTGACTATCCTTTTGTTAAGCACTTGTGAATTGGAAGTTCTATTCAGAGTTTGGTTAATTTACAAAACAGATAAATTCAGTCGAATTTGCATATAAATCAAAAGGTCCTTTTGTTAACTGAAAAAGTTATCTGAATCATTAAATTAAACTACTGTACTTTGGACACTGAGTCCAGTTCCCAGTGGTAGGCAATCGTATCACAAAGCATTCATTAAATTTAGGATAGTCACTAAGACATACCATGAAACAGGATACAAAGAAAAGTCACAATGATGCAGCAGTTTATACTGTCAAGAGAATATTATGGCATAGGAACAGACTATTTAACTTATAAAATCTACAGTTTTATTTTCCTCAACATAAACCACTCTAAAAGTTCTTTACAGTACATCACTGGAAAAATATACACCAATATAATCTATTTAGCTTTCATTCTTAATCAATTAGCACACCCTGCTCCTTGGCAGACAGTCTAATACATTTTTAAATATGGCAATGGGATCAATTTGAATCATGGGTTGAAATCTGCACGTACTAGAAATTAACCATTAAAACTGCAGAAGTCAAAAATTAGAAAGCAACCAGATCTGAATGGCTAATGAAACATACTTCATACCAGTGTCTTCAAAAATTCGAATTAAAAATGCTCACTTTAGATGAAATGCTATTAATATTTCTGGACGCAATTAAACACTCAGAAAACAAATAAAAGTAAGCAATATTTCACAATAGTTGATAGGAAACGACTAAAGAAAACTAAATGTCACATATCAGTAGAAAACACCCACCTTTTGATTGAAAAATGTTTTAGTAATTCTTACACCCACATGGAAAATGTTCCATGAATGACATTACAACTGATAAAACCGGCAGTCGAATCACCAATGACCTAGAAGCAAGCCCTAAATTTACATATTTTCTGTGACAGTGAGTGTATTCCCTGATATAGATGTTAAGTACCCAAAACACAGACCAATGTTTAGTCAATAAGGTTCCTCTGGGACACATGCATTCCCATTTGAAACAAAGAATGGATAGTCTGGCTCTTCTGTGTCAAATAAAATCTGAAATCAGGATTGGTATGAAGAAACAACATTTGAAAAGTGGACAGACTAAAGTGCTCTGAAATATGGGTTACATATGAAACTTTCCCCCTCACGAGCATTCGTACAAATGTACAGCAAAATCTCACATTGTTCCATTCCACTGAAACAGTTCCACTGAAGTTTCTTATTTCGGTGTACATTCCTGAAGAATAAAATCAACAGCAGCCTGAAGCAGGTAAAAGATCTGTTCAGATATGTGCAACAAGTAACAATGTTTTGAGTAAATTGTTTTTACTTTTGCAAAAACAAGGAATAGAGGCAAGAACCTACTGAAAGCAATTTAAAAGGTTCCCTTCCTTATTTTTCCTATTACAGCTTCTTGCCTCCGTGCTTCCTCCTTCAGCCAGAAGGGTGGGGCATTCATGGTCCAAGTGCTTCTCCCCAACTGCTGCAGATGCCACTTCAGCTGAAACACTTAACATATCGTTCGCCTTTTTTCCCTTACACTCTACATCCATATCCCACATTAAAAAAAACTCCTCGTAGCAAAACTGCTGAACCTACCGATTTAAAATAATTAAATTATATTAAATCAGGTCGGCATACAAAAAGGCCAGACTATTTTAACATATCCAAGAGTAAGCAACATGGTCAAAATGTAGAACAACAAAACTTAAATATCATCTTTTACATCCCAGCCTGATTTTGCGCAGTGTCATTCTGATTATCAGATCAGCATTAAGGTCAAACTTCTTCTTTAGTTTACAATAAATAAACCAGTTGAAACAGATCATTTTATGCTCATCTAAAATAGGTGCCTTGGCACCTCAAGCAGCATATGTACTTGGTTTCAAACAAGATCAGGAGTCCAAAGGCCTGAATTGATTGTCAATCCAATTCACTTACCTTGGCTCAGTTGTCAGCTCTTGACCAAATCAATGAAGAAAGTGCTATGCACAAGTCACCAAATCAGAATTTAGGAAAAAGTGGGAAACTTATCTCAGTCACACACTTACACGTCCAATCACTCAGCCTAAATCAAATCACACTCCTGGATTATTTGATTTTACAAAGCAGCTAATTCAAGAGATCGAGAAAAACCATGCAAAATTACAGCAAAAAAAGTACAAGAAACAAGTTAATTTTGGTTATTTTTCTGAAGCATTCTGTTCAATAGAATGGGAACAATTGTCTTGAAATATAGCCCAGAATATTGTTATTCCAACAATATCTTGTGAACAGCTACAGATGTTTAAAAGCTTCAACCAATTTTGGAGATGTAACTTCCCCTCACCACACGTGTTTTCTAATTATCCACCTACTCAAAAGAAATCCCTCTGCAGTAATAACATGCAAGATCAAAATCACACACACGTCAGAACCCCACAAACTGTAAAACATGTATGCTCTGCCAAGTGGAGATCCCTCAGTTTGAAAATTTGATTTGTATTTCAGTTAGGGTAAAGGCAAAAGGATATTTCTTTAGCTGTTATGATATATGCTCCTTCTAAAAAAAAAGTCACAGCAGCTTTCAAATTGGTCAAAACAATTAGGGCGTAAACTGATAAACCCCAGTTTTATTTAAAAATCCTAACGCTTTTATGAATTGCTTACACGCACAATAGACTCATTCCCTTAGATCAAATATATTTTACAAACAGAAATTACTCAATGGTTGGGTACCAATATAGAAATACCTGGTCTTAGCCAAAACACTGGAACAATGCTGGACTGAAAGAGAATTTGTCAAGCCTGAGTTATAATTTGTGATCAAACATACTATCTAGTCACTTAAATGATGCTCTGCAAATATAAAAGCTCTCCTGTGCTCTTTATAATGTAAAAGCCGCCTAAGGCGATCATTTGTGAAAAGTACCACAGTCATCTCCAAGTATTTCTAGATAATTTATAGCAATCTAAAGAAATAAAGAAACTTAGAAAATGCTCTTTCAATTCCAACTCTGGAAAATGGCAATAACGTGATCCTGTAGTCCTCAAAACAATTTACAAAATGATGACTTTTTTTAAAAAAAAGAAAGCAGGAAATATTGAACCCCACTCACTCTTCACTACAATTCTGTACCAATACCGTATGCAGATGCACTTTGTGCATTCTTACCTGCGTTCTCCCAATTCTGAAGAGCAGATTGTGGCTGAACCCATACATCAGGGTTCTAAATTGCTGCTAAACACACCGACACAGGACTGATAAACTGACACCCAAAAAAAATAGTTTGACCATTCCCCCCCCCCCCCCAAAAAAAAAAATAGATGGGAATCGACAAGTGTGGAATAATAATAATAATAATAATCCTTGCATTCGATACAGCGTTTTATCACGTCTCGTCGGGACGCCTCGAAGCGCTTCACCGAACACACCGTCAGGTGATTCGACTGTAAATTTTTTTTTCGGGCGACACTAGATTTCCAACAGTAAGAAATTCGCTAATCTATGATTTAAAACGAAGTTCAGGTTGAAGCCTGTGAAACGGCCTTTCTCCCTGTACCCCCCCTCCCCACCCCCAGCACCCCACCCCACCCCCCCCCAGCACCCCACCCCTCAAAACACCGCACACGCGAGAGCTTCGCTCAGCACACACCCTCTTCAGGAAGCCACTTACTTAACTTCGCCGTACAAGCAGCCGCTCCCCCCCAATCCCCCGCCCACCCTCACTCCCTCCTCAAAAAAAAATCAAACTTTCGTTAACAGTCCCCCCCACCCCACCCCCCCCCACACACACACACCCCTCACTCCCTCACAAAAAAACTCCCAACTCACCAGCTGAAACTCCCGGCGTCGGTCGTAAGCATTCTGGATGCCGCTGTCCGCCCACAGCGCTCTAATGGCCGACAAGTAGTTCAGGAAAACCCGCGTCTCCATGAGGCCTGCCCCAGCCCCGGTCAACGCCTTGGTGTCGAAACTCATGACCAGCTCGCCGTTCTGCTGGTTGCCCGGGTCCCCCCACGGGATGCGGAGCTTCTCCCTGGCGTCCACCAGGACGCGGATTCCCTTCAGCACGTTACTGTAGATGGTTCCCCTGAACTCCTCCTTGGCCTTCTGGTCGAAGTCCTGCCCGTGAATAATTCGCATCTGCTTCAGGAAAGTGCTTTTGCCGCTCTCGCCGGCCCCGAGCAGCAGGATTTTCACCAGCCGCCGGACATAGGTCTTATCCCGGGAGATGACCTCGTCGATCTGCTTGCTCTTGCGGAGCTGCTCGGCCTCTCGCTGCGAGAGGACGCAGTTCGGAAAACAAGCGGACAGCAGGGAGCGGGACGGCAGGAAATCCGCCATCTTTAGCACTCGACAACATACTGAGGAAGGAGCGGGCGGGCGGGCGTGACCAACATCCCGCGGAGGCACGCAGCGCTCGCTCGCGCGCGACGTCACACGCCGGGCCGCGCTTCCGCGGCAGCGCCCCCTCCCGCCCGGAGGAGCGACGTGACATTGCAGTCAAGCGCTCAACAGGTCGAGCACTCCCTTGCATTGGGATCGTCATCATCATCATCATCATCCATCATCATCATCATCATCCTAATGCAGTAATCATAAGCCAAAGGCAAAAATACTGCAGGTGCTGGAAACCTGAGATAAAAACAGAAGTCGCTGGGAACACGCATAAACAATTAAATAATGTGTTACTTATTGTAGCCGCCTGGAAATATTAACTCTCCGTAGATGCCGCCCGACCTGCTGCGTTTCTCCCCCCCACCCCCGCCCCCCCCTGACGACTTCTGTTTTTTTATTGCAGTAATAATAATCCTTGGATATGATCGTACAAGAACGATGATAATTCTCGCATTTGATGTTGCGTCTCATCGCGTCGTTGAGACACTTCATGGATTTTGCGGTAGAGCGTGTGATTTTTTTGTAGGTAAACGCGGAAATTTGCACACAGCAATTTCCCACAGAGAGCTATGAAGTAACTGAATGACCAATTTTATCAAAGGGTTGTTGGGCAGGACAGTAGAAGAAACTCCCTTCTTTTTCGAATAGTGCTGTTGAACCTTTAACGTCCACCTCAACAGGCAGATGGTATTGGCTTAACTGAAGGCACCTCCAATAATGCAGCGCACCCCCATCACTTCATTGGAGTGTCAATCTAGACTGTATCGACCAAACAAAGTAATTTCCCAAACTAATAAGCTAAACATTTCGGATAAGTATTAGATAACCCTGAAAATTTCTAATCAGAATTCCTCCCTGATTCATCAAGTCATTTTCATTCTTTTTCCATGAGAGTTTCAAATGGATGAGATGCAACATTTACCCTTAAATCTGCATAGTTATGTTACCAACTTTTTACTGTATTTGAATGAGTAAATGTCAACAGGCTGAATATATTAGGAAACAGAAGTTACTTCCCTAGTGTTGCGGGAGCTACTGTTATTAATAAGAAAAACCTTAATTAGGCAAGCTCTGCTTGATCACATTTGTTTTAAAAGACAAAAACCCAATGACACTTGATAAAGCCACTGCTCAGTCCAGAATTGAATCATAAAGGCCTGGAAAGTCCCAAATTCAATTCTCGATCTGCGATGAATTAACTGGTTTTGGTGGGGAAGGCACAACTGCCTCCAAAATCATGGGAGGGAAGAAAATAGGCCTAGGTTCCTATTTCTAATCATTACTGAATGATTGCTGCTTGAAAGTTCCTGTGTGTGAATGTCAGGTGAGAACAGAATTAGGTTTCACCGACTCAATGAAATACCGTTTGAAGATTCAAGGTCTGGCTTAGATTTAACCACGTTGGGGACATACCAGTCAGCAGATGGTGAAATATAATTCAAATGTGTTAAATAAAAAGATACCAGGAACACAGAATATATATATATATGAGTGTGTGCCGCATACAAACATATCCGAATACTACTAAATCGCAAAGATGATTGTAGAGGTAAGGAAGGTCTGAGGGTTGGATACAGTCGTGCTGAGCTAACTGATCTTAACCTGGGCAGTGATGGAGATACTCCACGTTTCAGGAGAGAGAAAAGTTGTAGATCCTTCTCCCAAGGACTAGACAAAGATTCATATTGTAAAGTGAATATTGGGGCTTGGCTACAATGCTCCCCATGATTGAGTAGCTCTCTGACATTCACTGTCCAGCCTCATAGATGGCTAATGCCCAGTTCTGGGTGGTACAAGAGGCAGACAGTATCTGTTTCCAACTGTTTGCAAGGATGAGTTGGTGTTCAGGAAAGGAGACATCAGAGAGAAAATTAGAAAAATCAATTCTGGCTCTCCTTATTCACAAAACAGCTGGCATTCTTTTCAAATTCAGTTTGAATTAGGAAAGTTTTATTTTAACATAATTGCATCAGATCTCTATTCGTCCACAAATAATACTGTTTTGAAGCAATGGCTAAAAGAATTACCAAGTGATGTATTTTTTAAACAATCCTTCATTGAATCAGTGGATGTCTCCCATGTTACAAACCCTCGTAATGTGTCATTAGCTGATAGCTGAGGCAGAGTTGGAATACTACAATTGTCCTCAAGACTTCCCACTCCTGAGAATTGTGGAGGAGAAAAGTTGTCAGCTAAAATATATTGAAGTTCATATCAAGACAATGTGTAGTTGTTTTAAACTAACTTAAGGACTTTGAAAACAATATTAAATAATACCTTATTTTCAACTGTATGTTGAAGTATATAAATTCCAATTGTGCACATAGTTAAAACTTGATTTATTAGTGAGCCACAATGTTAGCACAATTTGCTGAAAATAAAAAACATAACATTCAAGTGTAAGTTTACCCTGTCACTGTATACATAAAACCAGTGCTCACTCTGTAACTCCATGAAACAAACACATCATACATGTGGCATCAGTGCAGTACTATGGTTTGTCGTATGCGACAAACTATAGTGCTACTTCACTTATGATCTGCTATAATGTCTCCGTAAATAGTTAAAAACCACAATAACGCATAGTATTGTTGTGCAGTAACTGATAATAAATTGGGACACATACTGAACATCAATTGTGAGTATTATTTAATTAGATTCATGGAGGATAATACTCATACCAGTTCCACAGCTAAATGATGAATCACATTATAAATGCGCTGTCGTGGCGCCTAGAATGCGTTACTTATTGTTTTAGGGGAATTTTGAGATATGAACAGTCATATGAGGTCAGAGATGAGAAACGGCTCGCACGAACATCAAGCGATAGTGCTAAGACTCTCCACTGAAAGAAATTCCAAGAACTTTCTCACCTTGAAGCATCTTAAACCACTTCGAAGTAATAAGTCTTGTTTTGGTCAGGCAGGCGTCTAACACATGCAGAAAGCTGCCACCTGCTTAGAGTATCCAAACTAGACTTATGTCACCTACGCATGGAAATTTCTCTGCGTCTGGAATGCAGTGTACACTCTCTCCCTGGAGGGATGCACCCTGCTTCCCTAAATTCAGAGAGTCCATATCAGAGGCAGGCAGGCGAGAGAGGTGGCGTTTGGAGCGAACCGCCCACAAATATTACAGTCAATTCCCTTTACAGTATATTCTGCGATGAAGCGCTTTTGAGAAGTCTCCAAAGAAGATGCGAACAAGGCGCTATATCAACGCGAGGATTATTGTTAATATGACGATTACTGCAAAAAAAAATTGGGGGGGGGGGGGGGGGGGGGGAGTGGGGAGAGTTTAATCAGTCTGTTTTGTAATAGCAGTATCCCCCCCCCACCCCAGTGCCTTCGCCGCTTCCTCCCTTTCCTCCTTCAAGGCCGGTCTCAAGACCTTTCTCTTCGACCGAGCCTTCAGCTCCGCTCTCGACTCTCTACCCCCCTCCTCGCCCCCTCCCTTCCCCTCCCCCTCCCCCTGACCGTCTCCCCCAGCGCTCGGGTCCCCGACCCAACCGTCCAGCCCCTTGGGACGTCCTCCCGACGTGAAAGGCGCTGTGCAAATGCGATCTGGTTGTTGTTGTTGTTGTTGTTGCAGTAACAAGTAGAGGAGAGATCAGTGCTGGTGGTACCCGGCAGAGGGACCGCGCATGCGCAGAAGGGGGGGGGGCTCCGAGGCGCGACCAATCGAACGGACCCCATCCTCATCGATCGGTCGCCCCCCGAGGAACTCTTTCCGATTCACTTAAAAACTTTTAAAAAAAAACACGAATCTGCCGCGCGAACGATCCTCGTAACGATATCAATCAAAATCCAATCAATCAATCAATCAATTCCCGAAGCGCCGTATACGAAAAGAGAGAGAGAGAGAGAGAGGGAGAGAGAGAGAGAGGGAAGAGCGAGAGGACGACGAACGACGACGACAAGAAGACTCAAGACGCGATCAGTGGCTGCGGAGTGAGGATCGAGGCCGCTTCCGGTTGAAAAAAAAATTCGAATTCGAACCTCCGGCGGTTTCAACCCGTTTTTTTTTTAACGGCTTCTCCCGCTCGGCGGCGGCGGCGTTCCCCCCCACTCCCCCCCTCCCCCCCACTCCCTTCCCTCCCGCCCTCCCTCCCGCCCGCCCGGGACGCAGCGATAATGCGGGTGAAGGTGAAGCGCTGGAACGCCATCGCCACCTGGTTCTGGGTGGCGAACGACGAGAACTGCGGCATCTGCCGGATGGCGTTCAACGGCTGCTGCCCGGACTGTGAGTGTCAAACGGGGGCCCCCGGTCCCCCGGTCCCCGGATTTATGACAACAGTAATAATCATCAGAATAATTACAGCCCTGATCCTCGCGTGCGGTACGGCGCCCCGTCCCGTCCTCGAGGCGTCTCCAAGCGCTTTCGCAGGATACGCTGTAAAAGTGACACTTTTGTGGGCCCAAACGAAGCACTTGACTCGTTTCTCAGACCCCTACCCCCCCCCCCCACCCCCCCCACCCCCAACATAATGATATTAATCATCATCATCATCATCATAATAATAATAGCAACGATAACGGTATGAATCCTCGCGCTTGACAACGCCGCTTCACCCCGTCTCCTTCCGAGTCGTCTCAAAGCGCTTCACCAGACTTGACCGCGTGTCTTGTGCGTGGGCCAAACCCGGCAGCCGAATGGCGGTTGCGCGCAGCGAGGAGGAGGAGGAGGAGGAGGAGGAGGAAAAGGAAAGAAGAAGCTAAACTGCCGACGCGCTCGTCGAGCTTCATGGGGGACAAAGACCTGGGGGCCAAGTGTGTGTGTGTTTTTTTCATTTAAAAAAAAAACCCCACCTAGAATGTGTTTAAATGACTGGTCACCATCCAGGGAAAAGGGTGATGAGTGGTCGCTCGGTGATGAGTCTGTTATCCGGAGCGACGGATGGATAAATACACAGGTCAATGTGATCCCCAGTATTGACCGCATGATGTCTTGCATTGAACAGTCCAATAACAGTCCCCATACAACCAATGCAGCGAACCCGCTTTGATGTGCCCTCCTGCCATGAAGGGCTCTACGTCAAATTGCGAGGATTATTATTCTTTGCTCGCGTTAGGATTAAAAAAAAAATTTTTTTTTTAGCGGCAATCGATTTAAAAACGTGGTTTCACTATCTTTCTCCAATCGTCTCCTCCTCTGAAAGTATCTTGAGTTATGCCCTCGCTAACCTGGGTGTGCCCCGGCCAAATGTGAAGCGCCAATTGAGATTGGCAAACTCAGCAAAACTGGAAATTGAATCTGTGGCTTTGTGGTCTGTACAACCCAGTTTTCTCACTGGGTGGAGCCTTTACCTCCAATAAAAAACTTGTCAGGCTGTTTTCTCTCAAATCCACTTTCTCTGTAAAATCCACTACAACAACAACAACAACAAGATTCCATTTATTGAGCGCCTTTCACGTCAGGAGGACGTCCCGAGGCCCTGCACAGTTGGGTCATGACCCGAGCATTGGGGGGAAATGGTGAGGGGAGGGAAGGGAGGGAGCGAGGAGGGGGAAGAGAGTCGAGAGGGGAGCTGAAGGCACGGTCAAAGAGAAAGATTTTGAGACCGGCCACTAATATTAATATGGTTCCATATCAGTAATATTAAACCACATTTGCTTAGCTATTCCTTGCGAGTAAAACGTAAAACTAATATGACCTGATTTTAGAACAACAACTTGCATTTATATAGCGCCCTTCACTTGGGGTAGTGTCTCAATGTGCTTTAATTTTAATTCTCTAAATTTTAATCTGAGAAAATATTTTTAGCTCCCCCACCCCCAGCAAAAAATTTAATTCCGTTGATCCAGAAATTGCTTTTCCACTGACATTTGTTGACAGATAATATGAATGCCCTGTTATCTTTGTGAAGGATGTAACGTTTTGAAGAAAACTGCAATTACACAGAATCCTTTACAGAGATGTTTTGTGTTTTAGGTAAAGTGCCAGGTGATGACTGCCCATTGGTGTGGGGTCAGTGCTCTCACTGTTTTCATATGCACTGTATTCTGAAATGGCTGAACTCCCAGCAAGTGCAGCAACACTGTCCTATGTGTCGGCAAGAATGGAAGTTCAAGGAGTGATGAGAAACTGAGTGAGGAATTCTTCAGGCTCAGAAATATGGATGAAAAGCCACATAATAAACCAGGGACAAAAACTGCGGGATCTTATCAAGGAAATTAAGGACTATCTACCGTGTTGGTTTTGTAAATGTAAAAAGCAGTGATACAGGAACTGTAGTGTAAAATTTCAATAACTGCTGACCGAGAGAAAAAAATGTAAGTGTCCTTGTAATGAAAAGGTCAATATTGCATCCTTAATTTTGACTTAGTGGCCATTCGGTAACAATATATTTTATTTAAATAATGATGTAAATGCTTGTTTATACAAAATGTTAGACGTACACTTTTTTATTCCAAAACCATTAAAGAGACTGAATGCAGGACCTGTATGATTATATTGTATTAATTTGCTCCCCTAACCCAACTAGTACAACTGTGCACCTTCCAGCAAGGATCACTGGATAGTGATCAGGAATGGAATGGGAACCTTGATAGATTTACCTCCTTTTCTTTCTGCCCCCTCCCGTCTATCAAGGGATGCTGAGACCAATTATAACACCCAACTGCTGTCCTATCTATTATCAGATAAACCAGCACAAAATGGGGATTGGCCGAGGAACATTCCCAGTCTGCTGTAAGCAGAAATGAAAATAGTTTTAAAATAAAGTCATATGCTGCCTATTGCTGCCCCAACCTCATTGTAACGTGGTTAACTTCCACATGTATGCGGATGACACCCAACTCTACCTATCCTCCTCTACCCTCAACTCCACGACCACCAATGTCCTGACAGCTGCCTGTCCGACATTGAGTCCTGGACGAGAGACAACTTTCTTCAGCTCAATGTGCGCAAAACTGAGGCCCTCCTGATTGGCTCACGTCAGCGCCTCCGCACCTTAGGCACTGACAGCATCAGCATCCAAGGCTGCACTCTCCACCTCTCAAAGCCATCAGGAACCTCAGCGTTCTGTTCGACCCTGAGCTGTCCTTTCTTCCCCATATCCGCGCCACAACTGGCACCGCCTTCCATCACCTCCGAAACATCACGGCACTACCTCACCCCTCACGCTGCTGAAACTCTGGTCCACGCCTTTATCACCTCAAGGCTGGACTATGGGAACTCTCTCCTCGCCGGCCTCCCGGCACCTCCTCCACAAGCTGCAGGTCATTCAGAACTCTGCAGCTCGTGTACTGTCCCGCACCAGGCTTCGTGACCACACCACTCCCACCCTCGCTCGCCTCCACTGGCTCCCCATCCCCCAGAGGATCGAATTCAAGATCCTCATCCTCACCTATAAGGCCATTCACGGCCTTGCTCCCTCCTACCTCTCCGACCTACTATCCCCCTACTTACCTGCCCGTACCCTCCGTTCCTCTGGCTCAGGTCTGCTCCACATCCCCCGCCCCAACCGCCCTAACCATCAGTGGCCGGGTCTTCAGCCTCCCAGCCCCGAGGCTCTGGAACTCCATCCCCCAGTGCCTTCGCCGCCTCCTCCCTTTCCTCCTTCAAGGCCGGTCTCAAAACCTTTCTCTTTGACCGAGCCTTCAGCTCCCCTCTCGACTCTACCCCCTCCTCGCTCTCTCCCTTCCCTCACCCTGACCATTTCCCCCCTGCTCGGGTCCTGATCCAACTGTCCAGCACCTTGGGACGTCCTCCCGACGTGAAATCTTGTTGTTGTTGTAATAATAATCCTTGCATTTCATGTACAGCTTTTTAGGGTTCTAGACATCTCAAAGTGCTTCACAGAATAAAGTGAATTGACTGTATATTTTGTGGGTGAAACGCGGCAGTCAATTGGGCACAGCAGTTCTTCACAAACAGTCATGGGTTGAGTGACCAAATTATTATTGTTTTTTTTTCTTGAGGGATTATTAGGACTGTGCAGCAAGGAAACTTACCCCAGGTTTCGCCCTGCCGGGAATTGAACCCATGTCTCTCGCGTGCGAAGTGAGTGCTCTAACCTCGCACTCGCAAGCGAGAGACAGGAGAGCACTCGCCTCGCAAGCGAGAGACAGAACTTGTAGTAACATTGCTACATTGAGGCAACTTTGACAAATTTATGCAAGGTGCGAAGGTGAAATCTATAATTATGTGGCCACAAACCAGCAGTTTCTGTGAGTTATGAGCATCTGGTTATACCAAGTACTCCAGTTTTATTGTGCATTGGTCACATATTGAAAATGTGTTTTCTCACTAATGGTATATTTCTCACTTTTTAGAATATACCCTTTGCAAATGGCTTTGATCTGGTTGTGTATTGCCTGTTGCCCACAAGGTGCTGTTTACGCTTAATATCCTGTTTCATAGTAACTTCCTTTAGTTGCTTTGATAATATGTACATATGTTTATCAGTTTTAAGGTAACTTGTACATCGTAATTTGTGTCATATAATTTGCAAAGTTTACAGCATTACTTTTCAATATAACACGAGTCATTTTTATGTGACCCAATTTCCATGCCAGCGTAGGGGGGAAATTGGCAGAGAAAATAAATATTTCTGCCTGTGAATGTCCAATCAGTGGTTGCAAGTGCCATTAAAGAAAACTATTTGACCAGGATTTCCTGCCAAAACTTTAGAACATGTGAAGTTAAATCCAGTTACCCTGTTGCTCAATAATTCCTTGATTTAAACTGTAAACTTAGGATACCTCAAAGTGAAGAGGCACTCGGTGATTTATGTGTATTAAACATCTGAGATATTTATTGACCCTTGGGACTAGATTATTCCTGAATAAACATGAGATTACCTGAGTTTTACACGATTACAAAACTACCATTTATGTTTGCCGATTATGAAGTAAATTGGCTAGGAGTTTTGAGCTTTCGATTGCACTCTATTGATCTTGCACTTTGCTGCCTTGCTGATTATTTGACATATTTACAAAATGGACTCAAGAGGACATGCAGAGGTATTAAACTCATGCAAGCTGGCTAGCATTGCGGAGTGTTAGTACTCATACTTTCCTATTGTTTGCAAACAACTTCCACCACATAATCATACATTGGTCCAAGCCTTTTATACACAATTATCTGATCAAATAGACACAAAGCATTTACATAAATTAGAATGGAATGGAAACTCCGAGCTTACAATCACGATTCCGGACTGCAGGATGTGAGTATTTTTGGTTTCCAAAGGTAGCATTACTGAGCCGCAGCACAATGAAAATATCCAATGGGTGCCTCATGGAGCAAATACTTTTTTAAAAAAAAATTGATTCATAACAACTAGAAAATGCAACTCCCTCACTAAGACAGACGATTGCTTATATAGAGATACACATTATTCAATTTATATAATTTTGAGAATTCAAAGACATGAGTCACCAATATGGAGTCACTGTTTTATAATGGTTAAGATGCACATACCAAACACTGCTCACAGGTTTTAATAGCAGTTTCATACCGAGGAAATGCTGTCATGCAGTAGTCTTAATTCACACAAAGGTACAGTTGTGGAAAAAACACTTTAAATATACGTATACAGTATATATACTGTATTTATAAATACAAACAGTTGAAAAGTAAACATTACATATAATTATCAAGATACCTTGATACAATGAAAGCAAATGCTTAGTTGCAAGTGAGACAAAATTCACAGAATTTTACTTGTTTAACAATCAACACATATTAACCTATTAATGCCCGGTGAGCATGTTTGGCAGTCATTTAAGAATAAGAATAATATAATAATTTAACAACCCAATTGACTTACTACTCTCACTTGTCCACAATGACTTAGAATTAAATGATCCCATGCAACATTTTTGGAAAAGAATACTTTTTCATAGCAATCAATTATTGGAAAATCATTGGAAGAATCCATTTCTCAACCTTCAATCGAGTAAATATTGAGCTTTTTTGAAAACACTGGAATTAAACAATTTCCCACTGTCGAAATGCTTAAGGCAATCAATTGCCTGATACATAGTTGTTAGCTCACTTGAAACCATGAATGCTCAAGAGTTTATTTTTGTTCTATTCCGTGAAGTGCTTTGAGAAGTCTCAAAAACATGATAAGGTGCAATATCAAATGCAAGGATTATTATTCCCTCAGTGTAATGCTGGTCTAAGAGGTAATTTGACAAACATTTGAAATGAAAAACGTAAAAAGGAGAGAAGGAAGGAAGGTGGTCCTAGCAAGAGAGCTCTTTCAGAGCAACGGTCCTGGCAAGATGGGCTGAATGGTCACCTGTGAGGTGAAGCTCTATGATTGTAGAACACTAAAAAGCCATTAAAGGCTTTAATCATTTCCAATCAGGGAGAAAAGTCTCACAGAACCAATAACAAAGCTTCTTTTAGAGGGTCGCCATATCCTGTGTCTGGAAACGTGTGATAAAATATCTCCACCTCCACACCATTAAGAACAAGATGCACAGAGAAAAAAAATTCACCCAGTGTGATGATTACAACACTCAAATTGTATCTGTTCTTTTGACAATTGCGTTTCTATGGATTGGCTTCTCTAAAGCGGTGCCTTTTCAATCCACACAATTTTCTTTTGTTCTTCCCTTACTGCTGTTTTTACGCAGTTGATGAGTGAATCAAGATCATTCCAGGCATCAGGCGCAATGCTGTGGTACAGACATGGCAGTTTGTCTAAGCACCCCTCCTCCCTTTGAGCACACTTCAAAAGCAATTCCTCATTCACTCTATATTTATGCAAGATTTTCCTGAAAACAAGAATACATTAATGCATCTCATTTCTGTGAAAGAAATGTAGAATCATTCAAATTACAAGGCCACAAAAGTAATAGGTCTTAAAGGAAACTGAAACTAATAGATGAGAAAGATGATAAATAACTCATGGGGTAAATAACTAATACAAAACTGCTATTTGATAATAAAAACAGAAAGTGCTGAAAATGCCCAGATTGATCAGAACCTCAAAGAGAAACCAATCAAGTGTTACATCCAATACATTAACTTGCCTTTCTCTTCAGATAATGATTGACCTGCTGTTCATTTTCTACATTTGGGGATTTTATTTCTGGTTTCTAGCATTGATTTTTTTATGTCCACTCAAAATCAATTTCAGTATTTTAAGGGTATACTTTGAAAGCTGACTATGGATTTTGGTTGGAAAGGGTTTTGTATCCACTGTGTTATCAGGATACACACTATGCTGTATCTTCCAGTAATCTATACTCTTTTCCATTTGTCAACACCAATGTATGGAGTAAAGGAGACCTTTGACAAATGAATCTGCACATATTGATGTCTGGTCATGGTCAGCATGAATAAATTAGTTTATTTCCTGTAATACCAGCAACAGAAATTTGCATCTAGATATCCTTGCTTTTGTCTCGTATCTTCAGATTCAACCTTGAAAGTGAGTAAGCATTGATAATCCTGTTTTGATACTGAAATCTCCAGAAATTTATCACAAACGAGAAGAATGTAAAAGGACTAAGAAAGTATAGTTTATGAGAGCCTTTAACATTAAGATTAGGGTAACTCAGTCATTTGAGTAACAGAACTTGAGAACTTGGGAATGTCTTGGGTACGAATGCTAGTGGCACCACTCAGCCCTTCATCCATTCACAATTCTCTTTGGGGAGGAAGGATAATTGATGTCTCCTTGAGTTGAATGTTGAGCAAGCAAGGCTGCAGTAATATAAGGTATTAGTGATTCACTTATATCACTATCTGATCAATTCAAAGTGAAGCTTTGCATACTTTGTACAATGTAGCACTGCTCTCCCCAAGACATAATAAAATGATCAAAACCAATTCCATTTGACTCAACCTTGTACTCAACTTTATTTGATTCAACCTTATAAGGTGTTTTAATGAATGAGAGGACTCAATCAGTTGATACATATTTACTTATGGAAACGTTTTGGTGGCTATGGAAGTAGTTTCAGTGGAGTTTGCATATAGTTGCAAACAAATGTTTGCTTTGCATTAAGCCAATAGTAAATTAATTGATTGCGAAATGGAAACAACCAAATTTTGCAGAGTTTTATACAGTTTGCTTGACTGGACATAAAGTTTGTACTTTACACCACTGTCATCAAGGGCAATCTGGATCGGACAATACTAATCTGTAAACTAAATTAAACGGTATCGCTATCCCCAGATATGTTGAGATGCACTTTAATGCACTTGTTTGTTACGCAGCAGCTCAGACTGTGATGCCATGGGGGCAGACTCTGTCAGTCCAGACACTTTTCCTGCTCTCACCCACAGGCACAAACATAAATGTGTTTGGCTAATGCTCTGGGTTATAAGCTAACATGAAGAAAACAACATATTTGTCTTCTTGGAAAAAATATATGGGAACCAATAGAAAGAGTTTCAGCCACAGGGATGGCCCAGTGAATGCACTGTGCACCGTTGCACAAACAGCTGCATTTATGTCATACCAATGGCTTTTACATGAACCACACCATTACAAGTGATGACACACTTGTATCTTTCATTCAGGCTTTACAGATAAAAGTCCTGGGATTTTCGTTTCTTTGTTCCATGTGTGTGCGGGATATATCATTTCAAAAGCAGCTACAACGTATTTTACGTACACCTTTGGTGACCCCCCTCACCCACAGAACTTACCTGAAGAATCAACACTCTTAGATGAGAGAGAAGGGAGCATTTGGGGGAAATAAGCACAGAACAGAGGAGTTCTGCCTGGAACTGGCTCCAGGATTGCTCGAGCATAAACCATCACAATTATTTTTTTCCCCCCATTCGTCTGCACTTACTTTAGTTTCTTGTTGTTCTTTTCACACATGTGGATGACAATGACGATGGGGTAAATCTCCATTCGATGCAACTGTCTCACACAGTCCAGACTCAGTTCAAGGAGGCAATGTACATTCTGTAACCAAAACAACGTGGGTACTTTAAACCACCCGTTTAAAAAAAAAACACACACACAACACTGACTGAAGCAGCAAAAGAAAAGTAACAGTAGGTGAGAAAATGGGGAGAATTGGGGGAGCAAAGGGGAAACGAAAAAAGTAAGGGAAGGAACAAAACCCCTAAATTAACCAGAACAGGACGTGTGCAAACACCAACAATACCTTAGCAACCACAGCTTCCACTGCCTTCCGTGTGAAACAGCTGCACAATGAATTCTGTATGTCTTTCAGACCTACAATGTCACCTCTTCTCTCTTTTTCCGCATAGTCTTCGTTTCTCAAGCACTCTAGGAATAGAAAAGGTAACAGTTTCTTACTTAGCTTGTGGGGAGCATGATGAAAAACAATCTACCCGCAAGGAAACCCCAAACAAGTAAAAGGAGGCATTTCTGTGTAAGCTTAATAAAAAAAACTTTTGGTTCAATATAATTTTTAATCACACTGCACCGTTTCAAAGCCATTCACACAATGCGTTTTTAAAACGTTTTAACGTAAAGCAAAGGGGTGGGTTTCTGAACAATTTATCTTGTGTGTGAGAGATAGTTTAAACTTCCCAAAAATGCAGCTCTCTACCACATTGATTCAGCAGTGACCTTGGAACTAACCTTACAACAGATTGAATGTCAGAATCATTATAAAAGTAACTTGCTTTCCTTTTCATTGAAAAGGCCTCGATAAGTAGAGCAAAAAAATAAATGTTGTAGCTGTATTCCATTAACTTTGCCGGGTTTGAATCAAGTCTTTGTATTGCTTTTCTTCATACATGCAAAAGTTATAATATAAAATGTTTTTAAATTTTATAATGCACAATAATGAGACCCACAAAGAGTACTAAAAAGAGGTTTACAATCTGATGTTTACTGTAAAAATGGTTATCGTTGGGTGATGAGGGAGATGCAATCTCTCCTTCATTAGAATATTGTAAAAATCTGAGGAGGGGAGGGAATTACAGTATTACAATGAATTACTTTGAACTCTAGCATCTGACATTTGGTAGACAAAAACAGCAGCCAATCTGCAGCAATGCATAGAAGCAACAATGAGATCATCATTCTATTTATTCTTTTTGGAGCCAGGTGAATTTGGATGAGAGGAAGACAATAGCATTTCTCAGGCAAATAACTGGCACCTCAACTGCTCGCTGGGTTGGAACTTTGCAAGCACAATAATGTGGTCAGCCTTCAAACACCGCACATTTTGTCTCTGGAGCCTGTGGGACTATGGGCGAAGATTTTTCAAAATTCCTTGAGTGACTCTGGCAAGGCTTGTGTGTGTAGGACATCATTCCTCCCTGTTATACAACATTGCCCATTAAGCAGTTCTGTCCTACTTTACGTAGCTTTGATTCAATACAGCCTCATTAGCCCCTAATGCTTGATGTACTGCCCACTAAGTGTAATGACTTGGATGATTTTTTACCTAAAATAGAAAAATCCCATCATACAATTCAATTTGCATTTATACAGTGCTCTTTCACATTATTATAATCACACCTTGTGAAAGTCACCTTAACTGACACATTTTTTTAAAAAAAGTCTTCAAATAATCGAGTAATTTAGAAAATAATTTATGAATAAAAGCTCCTCACCAGGTTCGCATTTTTCATAATCCTTTTGGTCTTTAAGCTTCTCAAGCACAATCTTCCCGATCAGTGTTGACACGAGGATTACTGGCCGTAGAGCGGGTGGGTGGCAGGGTCTGACCAACGAGTAGGGCATCAGAGTGAAGCAATTGCCAGGAAGCTGCTCATCTGAAATAAAACAAGAATGAAAACTTTTTGAAATTTACAATAAAATTATAATACAACAACTTGCATTGTTGTATAGCACTGTTCACACCGGTTAGCCTCTCGAAATACTTTTAATGTGTATATAATGTGTACGTAAAGAGCAAAATTAAACAAAAATGATAGGTTGCAAATAGGCAGACTGACTGGTGGTGAATACTAGATATTGATGTCAACTACCGAAACTAACTAACTTATTAAACTTTGCGCTGCGAGCAGCTGGCAGGACAAGTATATGAAGATTTTTCTTCACATTTACAGTTCAAAGGTTCTTTAACCAGTAGCTAAGCCAGAGAACCGACAAAAGGGCTTTTACCCACTGGGACACTATGGAAGTGCCCAAGGGTTTTCAACCTTTCTCTTGATAGAAGAGATAGTGATCTGAAAATATTTCTTTTGCACTGAATTTGGTTTGCATCTCATTGCCTTTTTTGGTTTCTTTTCTTTGTCTCCGTCTTCCTCATCCACAACAAACCCAGAATGAGAACAATTTTAGGGAACGGTCTGCATGCATATTCTCATAGTTAGAGTACCAGCATAAGGGAAATAGGGGAAATTAATATCTCAGAATTCAACAAGCTTCTTCTCCTTATTGCATATGGAATCACATCCCATAATATAATAATAGCATTCGATATAGCGCCTTATCATGTCTTCGAGACGTCTCAAAGCACTTCACAGAATATACTGTTGATATTACAGACCAATTACTTGTAAATCATTTCTCGCTAAACTGCTTGTTTTTTTGTGGAAAGTGAAAGTAGCAAAGTCCATCATTTTACTACAGTTTACAAACTTGTAGTGAAAGACTTGAGCTCTCTATGATCACATCACCTTTCAAACAGTGATGTCTCAGGAGGCTACAATCTATCTAACAATCACAACCGTTGTTAGAACATCATTGCTCCAAGGACTGACTCTTACCTTCATCTTTGTCAGGATTGATGGTGTCGGAATCAAATGATAACCAGAGAGGGTTTCTCTGACTTATATCAGCGCTGACGATCCGCACCAGTTTGCTTTGACCTGATGATATTTTATGAGACAGCTGAAAAACAAACAGTTCAACTCATTATTAAAGGATAGTTATGGCAACAAAGCAAAAGAGTCTGTAAACAATGTCTATCGAACTTTGAAATCAGTTAGATGGTCCATTAAATTTGTCTTTCTGTCCTATGTCAACTCCTGTGAGGAAGATTACATTACATACTATATCCTATAAATACAGGTATTTGGATTTGGGACCCAACATGAAGCCTGATTTTTGTCTCTGAATATAAATTGGTTGAATTAGATGACAATAAAGATGGTTTGGACAGATTTTATGTTGGCACTGACATGAACATGGACTGCACTGGTATAAACTACACTGCAATCAAACATTCACATTCTGCACACCAAGCCTGCAGTATCTAGGCCAGCCTGACTTGCTCCACAAAACCACCCACACTGTACTATGTGACTTGAATCTCAGTGTAAGAAAAGGGAACGGACTGAACCAAACTGCACCAGAAATGCAGGAGCTGCACTGCTGTGTGTGTATAGTTCATGGGTTTACAATCTTCCATGTCTAGCTTTGATATTTTACACAGACATCAAGTGGCCTTGACTCCAGCCTTTTTCCCAGTTCCCCCACTGTTTTTCAAACAGCAGAAACAGTGACAATCAATTTTAATAGCTTTTGTGTGTGTCACACTGTTTACATGACAACCCCAGATGGTTGGGTTTGGTCTCTCTGGTTTACATTGTGGAGTCTGGAGTAGAATCTCCTCTGAACAGAGACAGGTTTCTGACTCTGAAAGAGTTCTCTCCAATTCAACATTTGGAAACACATCTGCTTTTCAATCCTGTGTGGCCTCAAGCGGTATGCTTGCCTTTCTGCCTTTCACCATTTCAGTTGATGCAGCCTGTTGAGCCATGTTCTGAATCATCCCAATCAGCAACTTCTGGGCCCTAAAGAGACACAGACGGGCAAAGAGATTAAAGTCCCCAGCGTTTCACAAGGTCACAAGTTCGAATGAAAAAAGGTGCTGCAGTCTATCTGATCTCACTTCTCCAGAATACCCACCTTACTGTCCTCCCTTCACAGTATCAAGCCGTGCTTTTTAAAAGAAGAGAGTCCAGAGTTGTGGCCTCAACCACGTTTCCTGGTAACCTGTTCCAGCTATTAGTTACCTTCTGGATAAAGAAAGCTTTCTGCTGTCTGTCTTGAAATTGCCATTTGCAACTCTAAACCTGTGTTATCTTGTTCTGCTATCTTGGTGCATCCTAAAGTCTGTCACCAGTCATGAAGATACATTGGTTGAGATATTTTAGTCTTTCAGATTGCGAAGAGAGATACAATGATCGTCAGAATGAATGTTTGTGTCAGTGTAATATTCTTACCGATAGTAGTTGGGAATTGTACCACTTGCCATGTCTGCCATTGTGTGGGGATTCACTCTGAAGGCTTTCCACTCACTGTTGCGTCTGAAAAAGCTGTCAGTGATATGAAGGATTTCATTGCACTGAACTGTAAATCCACCCAGCGATCCACTTTCCTTATTAAAGGTTATGTTAGCTCGGATGTAGAAAGAGTCACCAGAGGTCACAAGTTTCTTCTCAATATTTTCCACCAGGTTCTGATAAACTGATAGAAAAAGAACATTTCTCAGACAGTAAACAGCAACGGTTATAGCACGGCAAAGTGAAACCCTTCAGCAGAGACATAAATATACCAAAATAAAAAGATGAATATCACATAACAGAAAACACCCTTTGTCATGATCATAAAATATTTAAAAATTGGCACACGCCAATAACTTACGGATCAACATTTCTGAGAAATATAATAGATAGACATAAGATGTACTAAGTTGTGACTTCACAAATTTGAGTTTTCTATTAACTGATTGCAACTTGTGATAAAGAGTCAATTTATTTCTGTATCCCTGTAGTTCTGTACCCTTGGAATATCAAGGCTAAAGTGTTTGTGATATTACTCTGTCAGTCGAAGATTAATCTGTCTCTACACGACAGCAATTACCCCTGAAACACTTTGAGGCGTTTTGATATTATATGTGCCATAATAACCAATGCAAGGATTAGTGTTATAATAATTTACCCTCTCTATTGTCTCTTATAGACAAAGAACAGATGCCTTTAATGTGCTTCAGGGTCCAAACAGCCTCCTCCAAACTGGCATCCTCTAGCGAGGTTCTCTTACGTTCTTGGGTATTATACTCCACCTGTGGATTCATCAGCACCATTAGTTTCATTGGCAATTTTCAATTCCTTTAACAGTGCTTTACAAATTATTTTGAAGGCTGAAGATAAAATAAATAATGCCAGATTATCATAATGCAGGGGAGTCTCATTATAAAGCATACAAAAGAGTGTTGAGGGTGGGGAAAATCTAACTGGGCACAATGTAACCACAAAGCCAAATTGAAAAATGCTTCCGGTTTGTCTCAAACCGTACCATAATGATCTGGAAACCCGTCTTGAGGCCACTGTTTAGTGCTGGTGATTCAGGTTTGATGTTGTGAATGAATATACCAGTCACGTTCCCGCCAATGATTTCAATCTGATCCAGAATGCTGTCTCCATTGAACGTGACTAAAGATACTCTGCTCAGGAGCCTAAGTCGCTGAATTCCTGGAGGGAAAATCCTGCAGAAGAATCATAAGGAAAAGAGGTTAGAAAAGAGTGGAACCATCTAGGTTTGATTGAACTCTTCAAGGGACGAGCTCCTTTAAATTATAACTTTTATTTGTCTTAGCACTGAACCCTGGGTGATTATACAACTCAAAGAAGCAGACGAGAATAAATCTGATGCTGTCAGATATTTTTAGTTTCTCACACAGAGGGTAAGGCCTCTTCTTAAGAAAGCAAAGTTGTCGATATAATGTGGGATGTTAACCTGCTGGTAAAATTAACTGCATCACAGTCAACACAAGATAAAAATCTGGCAGCTGTGGAAAAGTTAATGAGTGATCCAGACACCCCCTGATACTGTTGCACAAGTCTAGCCTGAAATACAAGTAACAGTACTTCCCAAGTATTCCTCAGATTAGAGTTGGGTTATCTGATCACCAAGGAGTGTACTTAGGTTTATTTTGGCTTTACAAAATGTCACACAAACCTACCATGGCAGTATGTAGGAGGAGGAGATTGGAGGACTGAGTGCATTGTGTCTATTACAATATGCCTTGCCATATTGTATATATGTCTGAGCCAGACAGAGCAGAACGACAAGTCATCAATCAAATAAAGTGCCACAACTTAAATAACAGTTTGCATCACAAAATGATGCACTTGCCCTAATGGTTATTATTGTGCAACTCTGCTACAGAAAGCCACAAAGACAGAGCGAGACAGTGAAGCAATTAGGAGCATTATTCTGCAGCTGAGGTTAAGCAATGTAACTGGAGTGGTGAGTGTGAGATTCGTGCCTACACAAGGGCTTTTGCTGTGTTCAGCAAAAGACTTTGCGTGACTTTCAATGCTCTCCTCTACAAGCCTGCGTAGAAAACAAGTAATAATAATCAACGTATTTTATTTTACATAAATGTATTACTATTATGATTGCATAATAAAGGGTCATGAAATTTTCTGTGTCAATCAATTAAAATGCTTCTTTTTACCAGTTTTTTTCAGGTGGTGGAGGTGATCCATTCAGAGTTTGTGAGCCTTGAGGGGATGAATCAGACTTTTTGAGTGGCGGTACTGAAATGAATTTGAGAGAGTTCAGGTAATATGATTATCATCTGCTCAAAACCCACATGACTTAAATGCTACCAATCCACTTATGGCCTTCGCCCGTGAAAATGGTCAGCGCCAACTTATTGCAGGGGCGAGTACGTCGAAGTGGGACTCGAAGGGACCAAAGGCTTTCATGGGCCTTTAGCAACTTGACAACAACAACAACAACAACAAGATTCCATTTATTGAGTGCTTTTCACGTCGGGAGGACGTCCCAAGACGCTGGACAGTTGGGTCAGGACCCGAGCAAGGGGGAAATGGTTAGGGTGAGGGGAGGGAAGGGAGGGAGCAAGGAGGGGGTAGAGATTCGAGAGGGGAGCTGAAGGCACGGTCAAAGAGAGCCCCCAATCGCTTCAATTCACAGTTTGATAAATTTTGCTGACTGACTCATTATCAGACTCAATGCAGGGCAGGATAAGGTATGAAAAACAACAATAAGGTTACATTTGTATAGCGTCTTTCACGTCAGGAGGAGATACCAACCAGATAGTTGATACCAACAAGTCACTCAATGCTGAAGATGGAGAAACCGAGATGGTTCAGTCTCACTGTTACATCAGCTATCCAGATCTAAACGGACGTTACAAGAATATGCAACTGGAACAGCACACCACTGAGCTTGTGAGTGGCATATAACACCTTCCCCAGAACATGTGGGGGAAGCATAAATAGGAGTGCAGGTATACATACAGTAATTCAGCATTCTTTATTGTTAGAAACAACATAGCACTTTATTTTTTGGGGAGCTGGTTACCAGGCAGCCAATGTTTCACTGAACTTCACAGCCCACTTTGTCTCAACTCAGCTCTGCCACTCGGTTACTATGGTTTCATACAGAGCACGAATAAGAAAATGAAAACTCACTGACATCGGGAATATTTTCAATGCAACCATCAATATCAGAGCAGTGATCTACTGATGGGAAAGGGTCGTCATCGATCGAATATCTGCCGCTGTAAAAGCACGAAGAGAACAACAGTATCACCTCTCTATCAGAGCTAATAAAGTTTTTTTTATTAAGAGTGCAACTTTGCAATTGAATAAAAAACAGTGCTTGAAAACTCCATTGACTGTCTCGTACACAAGGAAATACATAGATTCTTGGAAGTTGGTTTATTAAGGGATTCTGGAATAAAGGAGGGGAGATGGGATGTTAAGATCTGTCATCATCTAATAAACTGGCGAGCAGGTTCAATAGGCTGAATGGCCTCCCCCTGTTCCGGTGTTGTGCTAAGTTACGATACAAGATATTTAATTATCACTTTGGATCCCATTCATCCTAAGTTCTTCCTATCAGAATTAAGCTCTCAGGCTCAAAGGGCAGTGTGAATGGGGTGCAGAACAGTGAGTAAGTGCTGATTCCTGAGATGCTCACACACTGAGCATCTGATCCGGGCAGAACTAAGCAGAGAGGGAGGAGGGGCGGGGAGGAAGCAGAGTCACCTTGGACTCTTGTGATCTTGGAGCAGATCATCCACTTGTTCTCTCTGCTGTAGATGGTGCATGGAGAACAACAGGACAAGTCATAAATATCTTAAACAGAGAATCTTGTCCTGAACTGCAACAACAAACAAGGTCCTGCATAACACCTTATTCTCCTCCTTATCAAACTTTGATCACATCAGTAGTGATTTTGGATACAAGCTGATACAAGAACAGACTGCAGGGTACAGACTGCAGGTGGAGTCCTGTAGCTCAGTGGTTAGAGCACTCGCTTTGCAAGTGAGAGACCTGAGTTCAATTCCAGGCAGAGGGCGAAACCTTGGGCAAGTTTCCTTACTCCACACACAGCCCAATAATAATAATCCCTCCAAAACCAAAAAGAATAATAAATTGGTCATTTTCAATCTACGACTGTTTGTGGGACATTGCTGTGCGCAATTGGCTGCCGCGTTCGCCCACAAATATACAGTCAATTCACTTTACAGTGTGTTCTGTGAAGCGCTTTGGGACGTCCTCCCGACGTGAAAAGCGCTATATCAAATGCAAGGATTATTATTATTATTATTATTATTATATTATTATTATTATTACCGGGGGAGGATGCAGCCTCTCACCTGTATGGCTGATCCAGGTCATCTTCAGTCAGGCGTCTGTAGATCGATTCCTTGCTGGGCGGCTCGACAAAAGACGACCTAACGCTGCTCGGCAATTCAACATTATCGTACCTCTTCACGTTTTGGCAGAGCTGCGAATAATACCAAAGTGGCCGTCAGAAACCGCTACCAGGGCACTGAGTGTGGGATGCAGGTGACAACTTGAATTCTCATCTGGATTTATCATTTCAAAAGATAACGGCGTGGGCTGGCATTTCTGATTAACTGCACACAAATAGGATTCGGACCAGGTTGTTTTTGAATTCAACCAGCGAGGTAGTTATAGCATGACAAGTAAGGTTTGAATGATGGAGGTCCTTTGACCCATTCAAGCTTTTTCTCCTTCTAACTCTGTATCTGAAATAATCGTTCCAGCTTTGCTCTCTCAATGCAACTTAGCATGTAGCAGATTACCACTGGGGGTGCTGACGTCGTACATTCCTTGTTACCAGGTGGTGTCCTGGGTAGATTTCGCCCAAGTTTGTCCACAAAACACACAGTCACTACACTTTAAAGTATATTCCTGTGAAGCGCTTTGGGACCACCTCCCGAAACGAAAGGCGCTGTACCAAATGTAATGAATTATTATTATTATTTTTATGATACATTTCTACTGTATGGGGTGAGAGTAGATTGTTGCCGTACCTCACTCTGGATGTTCCTGTCGTCATCACTGTCATTCTCTTGGCTGGACGTCGTGAAGCTCACTGCAGGCAGACGCTTCAGTTTGGGTTTTTCACGCAGCGGAATTACACGCTCCTTTTTCTGTAATGGGAAAAACAGTTAAAGGAAGGTTGAAATCCGCATTACTTTGCTTGACTACCGCCTACAAGACTTCATCCCATTGTGTTATGTGGACTTGCGATTTAAACACCTCGGGACGTCCTCCTGACGTGAAAGGCGCTATACAAATGTAATTAGTCAATTTGTTGTTGTCGTTAAACAAAAATGAATCCAAGGTCAATTGTAGAGTCCCAGTTGCTGCTTCCTGGATTAGCTAATTCAGCACAGATTGGCATCGGTACTTGGATCACGTCAGCTTTTTACCTTCATTGATTAGACCACCGGGGAGCTGTTTTAGACCAGGACTAGATTTCTAGGCACTGATGTCATCTCTATCGCCTTATCGCTCAAGAAAAAAAAATTCTTACATCCTGTCTGGCCCTGTTCGATCGTATCTGCAGTATTTCTTTGTTCAGTTCGCGACAGGTGTCCTGCAGTTCGATGACTTGCCTGCGACACAAATCCTTGTCTATGATCATTTTGCTCATCTGTACCTGGACCTCATCCCTGGCACCATACGCCTGGACAAACAGTACAAAGAAAGGAGCCTTAACCTCACCAAGCCATACGCATCATCAGATCTGCCATTGTCATGGGTGCTCGCAGGCGTTTCAAAATTGCACTGGGAACTCCCGACGTATTATTCACACTAGTGTACAATACAATACAAAATTATATTTGTGTAGCGCCTTTCACGTCGGGAGGACTTCCCAAGGTGCTGGATAGTCAGGGATTTGGACCCAAGCAGGGGGATTTGGGATCAGGGAAGGTGGAGAGTAGGGAGAGTGGCCAAAGGCGTGGTTGAAGAGCAGGGTCTTGACACTCTTTGTGTAGGTGGGATCCCTCACTCACTGCCCTCTTGATGTTTCTCCAGGACCTAGGATTCCTGTACATAGAGAATAACAAAAGAACAGCTTTTTCACTAAGAAACTCTTAATAAAGTGTTTCAATGCCACAAATGGGATCAACCATCCCAGGCTACAGAGGTGGAGGAAAGAAATATTAACCAGAGTTTCTTTCCCCGATCACTATCCAATGACTTGTTAGCTGGGACAGCATCGTGCTGAGCCCTGATAGTCCTCACACAGTAACCCAGTGACGCTCACTGACCAAACTCACGAATGAAGCAACACACTGAACATAACACACTAGAGTGACACACTGGACTTGAAGACGCTGACACCAGTGGAAGCATACTCTACAACCGAGCCCACCACCTTCAGCACGAGGTAAGGATAGATTTTGTTACCTCGTCACGTTCCTTTTGCAGTTCTGAAACCTGCGACTGGAGCGAGTCAATTTTCTCTTTGTACATATTGCAGTCCATCTTAAGAGTGGTGCATTCCATTAGCAAATTCTCCTTTTCGTCCAGGAACTGGTGCAAAAAAAAAAGCAGAAACAACGTCAATGCTTCTGAACTCATGAGGAGCTCAGTTAGCAGAGTACAGGTGGGACGCTAAGACTGGGTTGGGATTTGGAGGAGCTCACATCAAAGATAAAGCTGGTTTAAAACCATTTAGGACCACTATAGGAAACCTCAATGCAGAATGCACGTATAAGCAGTGAAAATGCTTACTTACACATTTGCAGTGTGGTGCTAAGTCTGGTTAAAAAGAAAGTTAATTTGGAATACTCCTTTCCCTTTTACAAATCACTATGGCGGAGGATTAGTCTGGGCTCACGTCAACATTTCAGAGTACTTCTTAGCTTATTGCTATCAAGTACTGCACAGTGACTGTGTACTTGAAGGCACAATAACAATCCAGGTTCCTTAGTATGAGTGAACTCTTGGAAAAGAGTGAGAATGAGGAAACGGGAATTGATCCAAATAGATTCAACAGAAAATGAAAAAAAGGATTTGGCAGTATGTTTGTTATTGATTAAACAAAGGCATATAATTAACTTTGTATGAGAAATTTGTGAAATACAGTATTGCTGTGATTTGCCACTTGTTCAGAGCAACGTCCTAACTCAGTGATCAGCCAGAGGCTGGATTACTGATGCTACCTCTCGTTTATTTTCACACTGTACACTGTACATTATTTAAAAAAATGTTGTAAGCTGCGGCAGTTTGTCAAATTGATCAGTCTCAGCACTTTGATTTGTTCTGCTTTTGATGACAGTTAGGAATTTCCCACTTCACTCTTAGACAACACTTTTTGTTCTGCTTTTCACTCCCTTCCCCTTTCAGCTGAAACTTTTTATAGTTTGGATTTTTGTGTGAGAAAATCTCCTCACCCCCACCCCCAACCCCCCACATCCCACCCCACTGCCCCCGGCTCAGTTCCTCCCCTCCCCGCTTCTTCTACTGATTGCACTAAACTTTTTTCTCCCCTTCTCCTGGGGTAACGATCAACCTGCTGAGACCACCATGGGAACCTCAACCAAGTGACCATTATTCGTGGCTGAGCTTTGACATCTAGACAAACTGCCTTCCAATTGAACTTCCTCTAACTCAGGGATGGCCAACTTGTCTATTTTATGAGCGTGACTATTTCACGCAAGCATAATGTGGTCCACAGGCTGCATGTTGACCATCCCTGCTCTAAATTTATGGGCACCAAGACAATTCCAGCACCCCAACTAACTCAGCACAGAGTAGGACTTGAACCTATAATGTTCCATGTTTCAAGGTCTCCACTCCACCCTGTTCTCTGCTCAATCACGCACTTTAAGCACTATTTACAGAACCTGAACAGGAAGTTCAATTGGCCTCCTACTTCAACAAGTGAAACAGTGGGCGTCAGATCTTTCGCACTGTTAAGAGCTTATCCCAGGTCTGCAGCATTTCCATCATACCTGCAACTGCAAGTTCATGTTGGACCCCTCACCTCATTCCTCAGTTGATCAGCCTGATCCAAGTCCAAACGCAGTGTGTTCATTTCCTTCATCATCTCCTGTCTGTCCTCAAGAGCTTCGACACGGTCTTGCTCCAGAATGTCTATAGTCACCTATTGACAAGCAATTTTGAAAAGAGTAAACCGAGCTTTGCACTGAGAAGCTTTTCTTACAAGTTGACTGTCTTTATCAAGAGACATTGCTTCTGTGATGCCAACAACAACAACAACTTGCATTTATATAGTGCCCCTTGTGCAGGGTAGGATCTCAATCAGCCAGTGGACAGATTGAATCCGTTCCAATTTCTACCATTATTGTAGACAATTTGAACAGAGGGGTTTCCAATTTAAATCACTTATTTCATGACAAACCACTGTATAGTGTGAAACTGAGCAATACTGGAACTTCATAGTTTCGACCCTTGGGCTGACCTTGTGTCACTCACTGTGGACGCAGGTGGCATCTTTGTCCAGGGTGAGGGGTGGGTAAATTATCTGCCAGAGTTCGAGCTCAGTAATTACAAATGGGAAGCGTACAAGAGAAGTATAGATGAAGAACGTCTTTCGTCTCATTTGATCTCATCTTTCCGTGTTGATTGAGAATATTGCGGACTGACATTTCAGTGTTGGTGCTAGGGGAGTCGGAGGTGCCATCAGTTGGATGAGATATTAAATTGAGATCCTGTCTGCCTGTTCTGGCGGGAGGGAGTTCAGAAGGGTGGTCAGCTAGACAAAATTGGTCATTCACATCATGGCTGTTTGTGGGTCATTGCTGTGTGCAAATTGGCTACCACATTCGTCTACAAAATACACAGTCTCTACATTTTACAGTAAATCCTGCGAAATGCTTTGAGACATCCTCCCAACGTGAAAGGCACTATATTAAATGCAAGGATTATTAATGTCGTTGTTGTTGGCAAGACATTGGGAGGAATTTGCTTTTCCTTTCAAATAGTTCCATAGGATCTTTAATGTCCATTTGAACAGATGGTATCTGTGCTCTCCCATCTGCTCTCAGACATATGCGTGAATCATCGAAACCCAGAGGATTTCAACTAAAGAGAGAGAGATAGTGACACACACATACACATGTACAAAGCACATACACATGACAAACCATACTGTACATACTGGGTTGAGTTGCAGCTCCTGAATCCTGAACCGCAGTGTGTACATTTCTTCCTTTAAATGCAGGAGTTCATCTTGCTTCGGCTTGAATTCCTCGCGCAGTTTCAATGACATTCTTCGCTCGACGTCAAACTTGACGATTAGCTTTTTGTTCTCCATGATCAGATTATCCACCTTCAAAAAGGAAAACAAAGCAGAAGCCCGGTCAATTGGATGGAGGCTATCGCTGAGGCTGTCGATTACACTTTAAAAAGAAACATATTGGTCCTAAAGCCAGCTCAATGCTTTCTGTCTGTGGGGAGGTATGAGCCGTCCACCCATCATCAGCTTCAATGTTGTGGCCACAGACACCTGACATAATGAGGGATGAGCTTTGAATCAAGCTAACGTTTACGGGGAGGCAGAAAGAGATCGTAAGTTCACATTGCAATGCTCGTCTTAAGACCTTCCTCTTCGTCCGAGCCCTTGGTCACTTCCCGCCTTGCCCTCCATTCCTCTTGACTCCACCCCCCCCCCCCCCCCAGCTCGGGTTCAAACCCTTGACTTGTCACATCCTAAAGCAAAATATAAATGCAATTTGCTGCTGCTGTTGTTGCTGTCGACACACAGAGCACTCATTTTAAAATCACAGCTGTGCAATGCTTTGAAATGTATTTTTGTTTGAGAATTAATTGCTTAAATTAACCCGCGATGACTTATTTCCACCTAGACAATGTTATTGATGAGAAAGGACATATCTAAGTACATCTAATCTAGCTTGAACGTAATGCCACCAATATTTGCTTGTGACTGATTTGAGATAGGTCTGACTGTTTGAGAAAGGGACGGCTATTTTTTTCCTGAGCTGAGTAATAAATGGAGCAAACATCGAATCCAATGTGACCTTACCTCTACTACCATCTACCACCACTGCTTCCAGTGAATCCTGCTGCCATCTTTAAACCTTTCATGTGTGCTATCCTGTAGGGATTTTGAACTGGATGCAACACAGAATGCTATCCAATGCTATTAAATAAAGTGTCACCAATTGTGAATGTAAATGGGAGTGGGGGGGGCAGGGGAAGATCTAGCATTAGCACAGAAGCAATAGTCCAGATAGCCTGCGGCTTGATGAAACTTTCTATGATTCACCTCTTTGTCTGGGTTATTCAAAATGTCTTTTTATTTCTCTCCCCTTCCTTTCTGCAGCCCCGTCCTCTTTGTAAAAAGGAGATTCTAACATGTGACTATTGGCAATGAAAGTGTATAGTAACTGCCAGCAGGTAGACATAGCTGAACCAAACAAGTTCAAGCTAGTGTTTCAGAACATTTATAATAATATACATTTGAGTGTCTTAACAGACATGTAAATTGTCTGTCCACCTGGATTCATATCCGACCTGTATTTTAACAAAAACAGCTGTCCTCCACCGGCTATCAGAAGTCAAAGGTATTTAATTCAGCTAACAGATTGCCCTATTGGAATGTAAGAGAGCTAAATCCACGCTGCAGGGTTTCACATAAATCGGGTTTATACTGATCAAGAAAATATTAACGAGAAGGTTATACCTGTTGCTGTAAGTCTCTGCTCCGTGTCACAGCCATTTCTTTCTCCTGGAGTGTGTTGGTGTAGCGCATTAATATCTGGTAGTTTTCCTCCTTCAGGCGAAACATTTCGTCATGGTGACGATGCCAGTCCATCTTCATCCTGCTCAGGTTCGCCTCCATGGCCTTTGTACTCTCCAGCTCTTTCTTGAGTTGTTGGTTCTGTTCCTCCAAGATTTGTGACTTCTCGTGCAGCTGGTGTTTCTGACATTTCTCCTCCCCGAGCCATTTGTGGGTCTTCATCACTTCGTTCATTAGGAACTGAATCATACCCAAATTTCCTTTCTCGTCTGCAACAAAGGGGTGAAGCAAAGTGAGTCATCGTGCAGAACAGGAAGGTCTCAGGTTCTGTCCCCAATCTGTGCTGATCTTAAGCAGGGCAGCATTTAGATACTGAATTTGGTCTTAGGGCTTCCTCCAAGCAGGGGAAATTCTGCCAGAGATTTTGCTCCTGATAGCTATTGAGTGACCTCTTGTGGACAAGCATGTGTAGGAGGTTTGATAGGACCGAATCGAGCAAGACTCCTGCAATGCTCCGAGTGGTGAATAGCATGCTAACACTCTAACATGTGAGCCTTTCTGCTGAGGCTCACGCAAACATTGACCACTTGTATAGGAAGTATAGGGAGCTGTTTAGTACCCACAAAGTCTTACTCCAGGGAAGCTGTATCTTCAGGAGAAGAGGGAGATTAAATACAATAGATTATTTGAAATGTTTAAATTTTTTAAACGCGGGTGCCGCAAGGAAGCTTTGGTAACACTTACAAAGATCTTACTGGGAACCGATTAACTTACTTCACCTTAAAATTCAGACTAGTGGAGAGAGCTTTTCTGACTAGAGCTTAAAACTAACATACAGGGGGATACAGCAGCTTTCGAGAGAGAAACTGCAGCACTTGCCACCAGTGAAATACAGTATCTTCAACACAATACATTTAATTAAAAAGCAACAAATATGCCAGATTCCTGCAGAGGGCAGTGTGAACTTGTGTGAGAAGCATCGTCAGGCACCAACAACCAAGGCAACGTGTACAGAATAGGGCAAAAACAACATTGATTCTCAAACCCATTTATTGACTAATCCTGACTTCTTTCGGTAATTTGGTACAGGATATGGAAAAAAAAACCTAGGCCTATATTTTTCAGATATTCTTGTTGCTATCGGTGACTTAGGCTCGTCCAAACACCATCGAACACATTCCCAGAGCGGAAAGTCTTCCGAAAGTGCGGCTGAAGCACCAAATGCTCAATTTTAGTGAATCAAAGGCTCTAGTGAGGGTTTGAACCGGGAGCCGGAAACAACAAAAACAGTGAAACCATGAAGTTAGTAAGTGCAGAAGGTTGGGAGTGCGGTAGGGAATGTCATTAGATGGTATCAGTGATTGAAGAAAACGTCACGCCAGTAGTGGTGCACAGCAGCACTACCACTTTGGCTGAGAACAACAACAGCAGCAGCAGCAACAACAACTTGCATTTATATAGCACCCTTCGCTTGGGGTAGTGTCCCGGAGCGCTTCACAGTAGCAGAATCTGGCAACAAGGCAAGGGAAGAGGGAAGTGACCATAGAAGCGATCAAAAAGGAAGGTCTTTAGGTGGGATTTGAAGCTGGGGAGAGAACTCAAGCAGAGAAGCCTATAGGTAGAATAATAAAATCTTACAGCACAGAAGGAGGCCACTTGGCCCATCGTGCCTGTAGCAGCTCTTTGAAAGAGCTCTGCAACATAGAATCATATAATAATCATGGCTTGGCAGAATCAGATGCAGGGTCACACCTACCAATAGATTCAGAACAAAGCAAGTCATCTCCTCACCCTCTTAACTAAGTGCCTGAACTAAGAAGAGGGGTGTGGGGGAAAGGAGAGGAAGTTTAGACTCAAAAATAAGGCCAATCTTACCTAACATGCTGCTACATTCTCTGGTGGGTTCTTCGCCAGTGATCAATGTGTAAATCTCTGGATTATAGAACCCCAAGGATTCAAGGAAGGCCACACCTCCCTTCTTCCCACGAGATCTGAGGAGATCCAGCAAATAGCCTGGAGGCAAGAGGATACATTTTTTTAAAAAAATCGTGCACTCTTTGACAGTCGTTGAAAATCTCTCGCAGCACAGGCGCTTGCTTACCAGTTCTCATGCATCGGTGCTTGAGGTGTGGGCCGAAGAGAATTTCCTCTTCATCGGTCTCCGTGATAACAAGGCACTGACGTAGATAAGGGGTGATGTGACAGGGGCGGACTTTGCTGGTGATTATGTGGCGGTGATTTTCAATGAGGTCCCATATGGCTTCCTCGTCTAGATCCTTTATGACCAACTTACCCGGTGGAACCACATCCATGACAGCTCACACCTGGAAGGGAAAGAACGATTAAGTCACTTAAAAACTCAGACACCACGATGGAGCAAAGGCAGCTGGATATGAGCAACAGATCATAAGATCAAATGATTGGATTGGTTGAAGAAGGTCCTTTGGCTCATCTGATCTCTTCCTTGCATCGTATTGTCCTCACATTACAGCATCACCTGTATCGGGCCTACAGTGCTTTTACTCCCACCCTCTGGTCTCTTCATCCTGGAGTCCCTTCACCTTGCCCCCTCCATTACCTCCTTTAAGGCCTGTCTCCCTTCCGTTACAGCTATTGATATCCCAAGGCTGGGGAATGGCAATGTGGCACAGTACGGTTCTGCAAATAGGTTGAGGAAGAAGAGAAACAATAGCGAGCTCCATTTGGGCAGAATGGCTGGTTTTAATTGAGTGTACAAGACCTGCCGAGTCTCCTGTGAGCCCTCCCATGTACAAATATGTTCATATGATAAGAATTGTTCACGAAACATGTGCTATGTTTGTATATGGTACCCAGCACAGTACAGAGCATATGAAGCCAAGTGCTGCTCAGGATAGCGGAACGTAAATGCTTAGCGGACCGTGGCTTGAATGAGCATTGAAGTGTGACCTTAACCTTCTTTCTGAGAAAAGAACTCGTGAAATGACTGTGCAAAACCTGTTACATTATAACAGAACGCACAAAAAGTGCTGAGTCAGTCACTGCTCTCATGAGCAGAGCAACCGACCCGATCAATCTAACGCAAGTTCCCAGTATTATGGTTAACCTTTGAGTAATGCTATTAGGTCTTGTTTTTGCTCGGGGGTTATTAGGCACTGGACCAATTAATTACTCAAAGCACGGCATGCATTTTTGAGTTGTGCATTTCTGAGATAGCTCTTACACCACAAATGAATCATGATTCCAAGATACAAGCGCATGGAAATTTTGACATTTTATTTTTCTTCCCCTCGTTGAGCTCATCGGCTATTTCCCTGCTGAAAAGATGCTCTGCTAGCATTCTGGGAGATGACCAGAGGAGGGAATGAAGAGCAAGTTGGGAAGCCTTCACTCAGCACCTAAAAAAATCTGTACTTTCCAATGCTGTGGGATGTCCTCCCAATGTGAAAGGCACTAAATAAATGCAATTTGTTGATGTTGTTTTACAGACATTGGAACTCATCATAATAATAAATAAGAATCCTTACATTGATATAGTGCCTTTCACTTCAGGACTCTCAAAGCGCTTCACAGGATATACTGTAAAGCAGAGTGACTGTACGTATGAGTGAATGCGCACACCAATGACTCACAAACCCATGAAGTGAATGTCCAATTTTATTTTGGGGGATTGTTAGTCAGGACACCGGGAGAAACTCCCTTCTCTTGTTGAATAATCCACCTAAACATGCAGTCATCTCATCCAAAGGACGGCACCTCTGACAACGCAGCATGCCCCCAGCACTGCATTGGAGCATCAGCCGCTAGATTATATGAGTACCAAGTTCCGTCGTCGGATTTGAACACACAACCTTCTCACTCCGAGGCGAGAGTCATGTGCAGAATTATAATAATAATGATAATAATCCTCGCATTTGGTATACTGCCTTATCATGTTGGAAAGATGTCCCAAAGCGCTTCACAGTATTTACTGTGAAATGGAGTAACTTTATTTTGAAGGCAAACCGATAGCACAATTCCACACAGCAACGTCCCACAAACCACCATGAAACAAAGGACCACTTTCCACAGCGCAGCCTTTTAAAGAAAGGATTCATTTGATATACTCATTGCTACTTGAATGCAATCATATATTCCCTATCTGAGATACAGAGTTTAGAATGGGAGGGAACAGTGTGAATCCAAACATTAACACCTAGTATCAAGCAGTTGATATGGAATGCCTGAGGTAGTCACAGCACTTACATTAAAACCTACTATGAATTCACCATTTGCCAGTGATAGAAAATAACAGAAACATTGCTTACTTACTTTATTGCTTGCCAGTTGTTTAAGATCCTCCCAGCACAGTGCAAATGTTTCTAATGAATTGCTTTGTTGAAACAGAAATGCCTGCTCACCTCCTCTTACTGTGCAGAGGCAATCTACGAACTGCAGAAAGGTGCCGTGGAGGACGATAGAGAGAGGAAAATCACAGAAGCAAGTAAAGGTCTTCAGGAAACAAAAGAAAAAAAATGACTCTGCACAAACTTAGAATATTCTCTTTGCTGTGAGTGGGAGGGTTTGGAACCTGATGATATTTTGCCTCGGATATTTCAAGGTGGTATTTGTTTAAAGTGGTCTTGTCAGTCCTGGTTCTATCAATGAAACAAAAAGAGAGGTTGCCTAAGAAACTAAGTGGATGTTGGTTGTTCTTGGTACCAGAGCCACTAGTGCTGCATTCATGTTGCAGGATTCATTTGCAGAATTGCAGAATTAATTTAGTTACTCAATCCACCACGACTGTTTGTGGGACATTGCTGTGCACAATTGGCTGCCATGTCTTGCCCACAAAATACAGTCAATTCATTTCACACTATATCTGTGAAGTGCCTTGAGATGTCTCGAAGACATGATAAGGCGCTATATCAAATGCAAGGATTACTATTAGAATTCACAATTCTTCATTGGAACTCGATAACAAAATGCAGTAGGGTTTAGAATCTGTTCTGCTCTGTCAGGGCACCAGTGATGCTGGAAGCTGAGTGGATTCCTAACTTGTCTGCAAGTAAGAAATTCTCAATTCCAGAGAATTTGTCCGAGTTGGTCTATCAGACACAGAGGCACAATTCTGAAGGCGATACTGAGAGGATTGTTTTGCATAGAGCACAATTTCCATAATACACTACCTGCTGATTAATCAATGGAACTAATATTTTTTTTTTTTAGTTCTTATCTTCAGTGTACAGCGTTCCAAAGACATTTATGATGACACTAGTCTGCCATGAAGCCCACATTGCTTCTGCTTATTGTTTGCCACTTGATAAACCTGCTCGCTAACCAGAGCAAATGTCTGTTGGAACCACACTGGGTTGTACTAATAACTCACTAATCAAGTCAATTCTGTGTGAGGTCAATTCAAAGGTATTTGACTGAGAACAGTAAGTTCCTGTTGAAGGGAGGGGAAGAAGGTCAGTTGGTATTTCCATATTTATTAAAGAACTATTTGCCTCCTCCTCTGAAGATATTTTGACTCCTTTTGTTCCTGTACTAGGGCAAGATTCCAAGTGATCATTATTTGCGTGCCATTATTTGTGACATTAACAGGATATTTGATATCACAGCTGAGGCTGATACGTTTCACATCAGCCGTCAACAGGCAATCACCTCCCAACAAAGATCACTGGATAGCAATCAGAAACCCGGAAGATTTTCCTTCCCCCAACCCGGGAGATCTGAGGCTAATTATACCATCCTTACTGGCAACCCGACTCATCATCTCAGTGTTGGGATCAAATCTGGGAAATTTCATACCTGTATAGTTCAGCTACACATTGAATAAACTCACCATTGAATAAATAAATAAAATAAATTCAAGGAGTCTAGCTCAATGTTATTTCAGAGATTCACCTTTTCCCAGTTAGAAATACAATGGAAGAAATAAACATTTCCTGGAAACATGGAGTGAGAAACCTTTCACTTTGGGGATTATAGTAATTAATTAAAGACAAGTAAAATGATGTTCCTGCATTTAGTATAAACCCCCTCCAAGGGCCCTCTCTCTCTTTTGTGCTCTTATCCCTTCATCATCTAACATTTTTTGAATCACGTTGCAGAATCTTTCTCTCTCTCTCGTTAATGTTCTCCGCCTTTTCCTCTCTGAAAGCACTTGTTTGAGCATGGTTCAATAGGCACTGGTAGTTGTCCAGAACCTCGCCCAAATAACCATTCATTTTCCATGAGCCTAGACTGTCAATATTGGCAGGCTATTTGCCCTCAGACCGCACCATGGTCTTGCACGATTCTGTGATCACTTGACCTTCATGCACATGAGCTTTTTCAACAGGGGTTCACGAACAGTAACCCCAATTGATTTTTACCCCCCTACCCACTATTTCACTCAGAACAATGAATTTCATTTCGAAACCTGTTAGGGAAGAAAAAACTCTGACTGGCTCAGCTCAAACCATAGGAGAATGCCAAGCACTAAAGTACAACAAATAAATCTGATCGTTACCTTATAACGAAAAAATAATACACGCACAACCAAATCATGCTGCACTTACATTAATGCCAGAATCTGTAGCTCACTGTAAACCCTGCTGAGAATGAGCAGCACCCACACTGTGCAGTTGACCTATGAGTACTGCTTCAGAACATAGATCATGAAGAAAACAAAGATTGCTTCAGATCCTCTGTACTGTCTGTACATTATTATCCCCCCTTGCAAACCCAAATGGACGTTAGCCCAGGTGCGCTTGGTGAAAAAAAGACATTCGCCCACAAAAAACATAGTATATTCTGTGAAGCACTTTGAAACATCTCAATGACACAATAAGGCACTATATCAAATGCAAGGATTATTGTTATTATTATCAAAGAGAATCATTCACTCAAGGAATTTTGTTTATCCTTTTTTTTGTTTATCAGATTTTTTTTAAACCCGCTTTGCTGTTGTTATCTGATTTCATCGCTAATGCATCAAATGCAGTGCTGGACCTATATGTTTTTAATATTTCTGATACATCCCACCAAATGTCCAGAATTTCAGAATTGTTCCCATCTGATCAAGGTTTCACTGACATTTGCCTGAAAATTGACAGATTTATTGTCAATTTGGGAGATTTCATATGGATTGATCATTTTATTTAAAAAAGGGGAAAAAACACTAAAGAAATAAAAAGAATATTCCTTGTGTCGATTTGTGGTATGTTATGCGGACCAATTAAGTTTTAAAACCTACTGATGTGTGTAAGGAGAAATGTTTGCTCTGGTTTTATGCACTGTACTTCATATTTTTGGACTGGTATCACAGATGATTAAAAAAAAGTTAATGTTTAAACTCAACAGTTCAGTGATGGTTTGTATCAAAAATATTAACTGTTTAAACCATGAAAGACTGACTTGCGTGTGACCTGTTGTTACTGACCACAAGAACAAATGTTTGTTCAGCAGTAACAGAGCAATGTTATAAGGCTATAATTTCATGCCTCTGGATTTAAAGCTGAAATTACATTTTCCTCTTCTGCTCAGCTCTGTGGTGGAATAGTCAGCCTCTTTTTTTAAAAAAGAAAGTAAAATCATAATGTTGTTTGCAAAACTAGAGTTGCCATAGTGAAGTTCGAAAAATCACACTTCCATTGTGATATTGAAATCCAACACTTAGCAAATACACTATATACCATTGTACACTGATGATTTACCCTTTGCAAGGAACTGAATATTTCTCTTTCACTCTTGTACAACAACTGAAGAAAAGAGAATCATTTTAACACACTTCCATTGCCTCACAATTAAAATAACCCTCAGAACATCTCTCTTGACAACATAATTTGCTATTTCAATTTGGATGACTGCCTCACAAAGCATTTTATAATGAGCTTAATTAACGTTCATGTAAAATCTCACACGCATAAAAGCCAAATTCCTACATTTTTAATCCAAGTCATATTGTTCAAAGTCAGGATAACATTTCAAAGCTCGTGAAATATTTAACAAGAGGAAAGCTTCGCGGTTCCTCACGACCGCCAAGTGGATGTCTTACCTCTTTTTACCCCTGAATGCCAGTCTTTATTTTTCCTCCATCAATTTATATATTTTTTGCGAATGTTTTTAAATCACCTATTTTTCATAATTTATCCTATCTCCAGACTCTGAAACTTCCTTTTGCCTTTGTGTTGACCTGTCTGAATTTAAGTGTTAAATTATTCCACTGAACAGGGAATAACATAATAGTTTCTTCAACAAAAACGATGACATTGCAGTGATTCAATTACTTATTCTACACAAATGGAGATAAGGCTGAGTGTGCTCTGGGTCGCTAGCGTGCGTGAGGGGCGCTATGTAAATGCAGGTTGTTGTTGTTGAATAATAATAATAATCCTTGCATTTGATGTAGCACTTTTCACGTCTTCTAGACATCTCAAAGCGCTTCACGGAATATGCTGTAAAGTGAATTGACTGTATATTTGTGGGCGAATAAGTAACACAAGCAAACATGTTTTGTACTCTCGCAAAATTCTGGGGAGGCTGGAAGGAGTTAATAACTGACTCTGATTCGAATGACAGGAAACCAAAAAGTCTATCATTGGTTAATTATCGCTGACCTCTGAGGCTTCATAACAACAACAGGAAAAGAGAGGTGCCGATCAGTCTTGGGCGTGGAGAATATGTACAAAAATAATGCCAAACAAATAGGTAAATGGAAGGACACGATTTAAAAACCTAGGTAGGATCTGAAATGGTTTATCTGGTAATATGGGGAGACTCCTCCTGTGTGAATGCAAGGCAAAGGATAGCCTAATTATTGCATAAATTAGATAAAGGTATCTTTTTTCTAGATGCAAGAACTCTCACATGTGCCAACATACTTCCTTGACTACAGTACACAGTGTTGCAAACATAAGATATTGAATCAGTTTTGACATTCATACTCAGTGTTTGAACAAGGACGCCAACTTTGGCTTATCGCTAGTGGGTCAGGGCCATTCACTCTCGTGTCAGAGAAAGGTTAGGCTTCATGCAAATAGAACAGAACCTGTTTTTCCCATCTAGCAGTCAAGTTGTGTCGGATGATGTATTTTTCTCTGATGAATTAAGGAGAGTGACAATGATCTGTTAAAATACCTGCATAGGTTTGATGACCTGAATGGTCCTTTCCATTGCTGGAATTCTTATGAACTCTGAATATGTTTATTGTAATTATTTCATAAGTAAAGTGCATTCCTCTCGGGTGAGGCCTAAGCAACAGATTTCCGATTTATTTCCTTTCAATTTGCCTGATACAAAATGGCTTTTAGGAGCTAACATCAGGACTTCTATTCAAAGATGATCTGTGCAACAATAAAGATAAACAACAATAACAACAACAATTCGCATTTATATAGCATCCCCCATGCAGGGCAGTGTCCCAGAGCGCTTGGTTGCCAAGGGTAATGGCAGATGTGAAGGTGAT